TATATATATATATATATATATATATATATTATATATAATATATTTCCAACATACCCACCTACTCCTACAACTTACCACCTTCTACAGTAGCAGGCATGAACCGTAAGCGAGGTTTCAAGATTTTGCTCGTGAAAGCGACCTTAAAAATCTAGGAGCAGGATGTCAGGGCGCGAGAAGAATTGAATCCTTGACACAATAAAATCACACAGATTGCACACAAACGAGCGTATAATTTACCATAAACTTTTAGTGGCATAAGTTAATGACAGAAACCAAGAATATAGAATCACACTTTTTACAAAGAATAATCAAAACACAATAGAAACCTTTACAAACACACACTCATGTGAATGAACACATCATTTTACTTCAAAATTGATACTCTGACATAATTACTCTAATCTACACTGGGAATTCCCTTGGAAAATTAATTTATATCTAAATTTGTATTTCTATTCTAATTACATTGCACGTGAAATCAAAAATTCAATTTACAATCTCTTGCTTCAAGATATTGCATGTAATGAACAGAATGTGTGCAAGTGCACTACTCTAATTTACAATTTAACTGTGTCTAAAAATAGCGAAATAATAAATGTCCTAGTAGAATGTTTTTAGGCAGGCAATAGCGCATCAAAAACGTCTCCTACTATAATACTGTAATTTGTTGCACCCGTGTCCTCAAATTTCTAACACTTTCCTATACTAGTTTTTCCCTGCCGACTTGAACTTGACCTATTTACTGCGGTTCTAACTGTTACTCGGGGACTTCACTTTTGGCCTTGATGGTCTGGCGCTGGTCGCTGCGCTGAAGCCGTTCGGTCCCACTTATACCAGGCGCGCGACACTACGGAAGCACGAGATAACAGTCGCGTAAGGCAAGAGGTACTTAAACGCCGCGGCCTGGTATCCGTTGTCCGTACTAAACGAATGCGAAACTAGCGAGCGAATGTTTTCTTTCGTGAAGGGTGAGGAGAGGGAAGCAAACCACGCCCATCACGATTTTCCAGGCCCGCGCCATAAGTACGCGAACCCACAAGCGTAAAGCTCTCTCTTTGGGTCACCACGCGTCCGAGTTAAGCACTGCTCTTTTTATAACCGTTCGACAAGTCAATATTTTCGTTAAACATTAGATATTGTTGCCGTTGCAACGACTACTAGGTAGGAGTCATTCGGCGTCGAACAGATCGTTCTAGTTAGTCGTCCGCGAGATAGTGCAGGATCTTAAGATAGTGTTTCTTCAAATTAACAACACGGCGAAGTAAATGTTACCGCGTTGTGAAGGAAACATTAAAAGTTCTGGCTTGTATTAACTAAGAAGCTGCAGATGCAACAGTAACTCTTTTTTGATACGTTCTCTTAGCTCACATATTTTAGAATTAATTGCCAAAACAGTATACTATGTTCACAGTTGAAACGTATTCCGTTGCATTTGATGATAAAAACATTGAAAAATAACCTCGAAAATTGTTTATATAAAAGTTCTTCGGTAGTGTTCAGATTTTTAATGCTACGGATCTGTTTCATCATCACACCGCTTCGAATTGTACGCCATCAATGATCAAGATAATATTCGTAATTGTGTTTTCTATTAGCAATTTCCTCAGCGTTTTCAGATATGGTACTGTTATCTCGACCCTGGTGTAACTGTTCATTGGCAATGGTTCAAAGGTAAATCATTTTACAGTCGGTACAAAAACGATGTACCAACAAGTACCGATACCAAATAGTACTGGTGATAAGGTGAAGTGGCTGAATATGTCAAAACAATTTAAGAATGATTATCACATCTCTGATTAGATCGACCTGGAATTGGTATTGTGGCAAGTCAATTGAGAAATAAGGTGATAAAAGTATGTATTTCCTTTATAGAAGAAAAATAATAGCGAGGTCAATGACTAAAAAATAAGTAGATAGATTGACTACTTTATATTTATACAACAATTTATACTTAAAGAAGAACATTTATCGATATTTATTACTTTCTTATATTATATTCCAAACCTGTAGACGTATCACCAGAGTTTGATCAGCTACTTGACTGGATATCCTGTCATGTTTTTGCATGAAAACAGCCATTAATGTGCTGTTTCAATGCATTTTTGCATTTTAAATCGGCAATCGCATGCTCTATTGAAAGGGGCACGAGTAGTAGTCGAGCGTTGAGTGGAATGAAAGGCTTTGTGAACGAATGGAAACTTTTTGCACGGTCTATGTCGCAGGGTTCTTGCTCAAACTCCCCTTGTCTATTTGGACACGCATCAGTATGTACTAATCGTTGACGGACTCATATTTCAGACATAAGCTAGCATACACTTTCTTGTACACGTGCATGAAGTATCTAAATGGTAAAACATAATTCGATCTCGATATTGACGGAAATCCATTACTTTCGTGTTCTTAATCGTGAAATTTTGCGTCATTTCGCTATCGACCGTTAACCGCGCCCGCCGTTTGGAGGTCACACATGCTACGCAAAAAAATTGCAACATACAGCGCCTACCGGAACGCAAAATCTCACTTGCAGACTGTTTATAAGTTAATAGTAGATTAATTCTACAATGATCTCAATTTACTCTCAGGTGTTTTACGAAGTCGTTCATGCAAATGAGTAAAAACGCTCAATATTTGACGAAACACTAAATTAAAAGGCATATTATTTATTTGTTTGTCTGTCCACTTGTTACTTTCAAAACTAATCATACAAATACTAGCCAAAATATACAGTTTTATTCTTCAATAATCCCTTTTTACACAAATTCGTTCTTCTTGATCGTGATGTGAATTTATTCATTACATATCCACGTAATAAAAGAAAAAAACTGAAAACGAATCACAACAAACCTGGGTTCCAGTTTTCCCTTCTCAAATTATAACATTTCAACAACAAATGGTGCTAATAGAGCACATACTGTTTGCGTATATTACTAAATATGCAAGATTTGAAAATTTAATATCATTATTGTCATCACTATCATTATTTTAGGTGTCCCTTCTTCTATTCGTGGAAAAAGATGGATAAACAATTCGGTTTCTTGAGAAAACGTATTTTTGCATTAATTTCAAACCAAAAAATACTCATTAAATAAATGTGCATGACCTTTTTAAAATAACTGATATTTCCGAAGATACTTTGTCGAAGGCACAAATCTCTATCATTTTTAAAATTTGAAATAATAACTTTCTGAAGTTTTCGAAAATAAAGACAGATTGACGCAGATTGGACTAGCACCACGTTTTTTTACAGTCCCTTGATATATATGAGGAGAAAATATAAAGAAAAATATTAGTGCCGTTTTAGAGAAAAAAACATGTTTAAAAATTTAAAAGTGCCAATTTTTCGCGAAAAAGTAAGCAAAAACTACTCATATTTTGGTAAAAACTTTATTTCAAGACCTGCATAGAAGAAACAGATTCCACCTTTAAAATGGAAGGAACAGATCTCTTTTTTCAATATTATAATTGTAGAAAGATACCAAAAAATGCACTTTTTCAAATTTCTAGAAATGAGGGGTTTCATCGAACATGAGAAGTGCACCATACTCTTAAGCGTTCTCATACTAGTAAACGACAAAATTTAATTAAGACATTTTGTGCTATGATGGAGAATATTTTGAAAGGGTTTATGGGGCTTTATGTAAAGTAATCGAAAAAATTATAACATCCGTTCAAATCTCCCAAAGCCTCGAGTTCGTTCAGATCGATTGGGGAATGTCAATTTTGGAAAAAAATCGGCTGGACGTTTTACGAGTTGACCACAGACACAGACAGACGTGCTGCAGTTAATCGATTTTTCGGTATTGAGGACCGACAAAATATGGATTCTGGTTACACCACGTGTTAGAAGAAGTAATTTACTATATAAAGCAACAGGATGTATGTAGTGTTTCGTTACCGCGTCTGACAATAAGAGTTTTTCTGTCGAACATTCGTCGTTTTCCAACGCACGATTACAATATTTTCTCTTCTTATATTCGTAAGGGGGAGAAAGCAAAATAAAAGAATTTCTTTGTATTTTTTCACGTGTATCCTCTTATAGTAGAATGCAAATATGACTTAAATAATATTAAAATAAGTATACGTCTTGCACATCGGCACTCTTCTAAGACGACAAACGTTCCACAAATTATGACACAGATTTTTTTTCACAAAGTCAGCATAATAGTAAACACTGATTCAAAGAAACTTAATATCAATTAGAAAAATGCATTGTGAGTATTAATGTTCGGCAACTGGATGGTGCTGAAACAGAAGTAACTTCTCGTTAAAGTTGGCAGGTAATATGTATTGACTGGTAATCAGGGAATGACATTTTTATCTATGCTATTTTTTCTCTAGGGTTTTCTTTATTGGGTGCCAATAGCTCCTTTAGAAGTTCGCTGCAATCGTTGGAATCCGATTAGTCTGTCGCTGATTCATCCCCTAGACACGCCATTGAAAGTTTTGATCTTAGAGATATGTTAGGACGCCTAGGGGGAACCAAGAACCAAATTTGAAACTCCTAGGATCAAGTGGATCATGACGGCATGTGTTACAGTGTAACTGGTTGCATGTGTGCGTGCTGACTTTGTCTTTTCCAAGAAATTATTTTGTAGGGCACTTGACTTATGCCGCATCCCTCTCTCATTAATAGCATTCCGTTATGTACAACAGACCTTAGTATAATGGTGTACGGAGAGATGAAACATAGCTCTCTGTGGCTTTGTTTTGAAGAAAATAATGAAAAGTTTTAAATGTGCATATTTGTATTCTAATCTCTCCTCCCAACCGCCTGCCAAATATTAAAATTCTCTTGTTAGGTAGCGTTCTCCCACGAAAGCGTTTTAAACAGTTGCAATGACCAATCAACAATATATCCGGACATTTTTTGGGTCAGATATCGACACGTGATCAAAGAAATATGAGGAAAACAGAGATAACTGAAACAAACAATCTTGATTTCAAGTGCTTAGGGAAGGATATATAACACAGAAGACCAAGAGATAAACGGCGAAGCAAAAATGGCGCTGATGTGGGCCGTGTTGGTAACGATCGCTGTGGCCGTAGGCCAGACTAATGCGGCTTGCTCCTTTCGATTTACAGCATTGCAGGTATGTGGGGATTTTCGATTTCTCTTTGAAGGTACTTGAATTAATAATTATTATTTTAAATGTTTTTAGATACAAGATGTTTAGGCCTGTTTATTACACCGCAAAAATCCTGAGAATATCCCCATTCGGGGAGCAATTTCGAACTATTGGGAAAATTAAAAATTTCCTTTCACTCATGTCGCGTTTTAATTGCCGCGTGGTCTGTTAGAAGTCGCGAAACTAATTGTAATACTGCACATTTATCAGATACTTTAATGTTAGTCTACTTTGTATGCAGCACACGGATTGTTTCAGATTAACCAAAGAACGAGCAATTCCGTTAGGTCAGATATTACGCAAGAATCAATACGGCGTAACGCCAATACTTGTAGTTTTCTTTAATTTTGACAAAAGTAATGTCAAAGGAAACACTTTTTACGGCAATATAAATACTGCACGAAGGCATACTCTTGAGAGGAGACCAAAAATACAAACAAGTAAGTGTTGCTCTTTTGATTCGTGGGCAAAGTATTGATATTTATCCAATCTAAATACGTTATTATAACCAAATTCCTTCACTCGCATTCTCTAAATTTATAACAGTAGCCCTACATTCAATTTATCTTCACTGCAGATAGTAAGCTTTCAAAACGATTTTTAAAAGGGGCAACAGTTATTTATTTTTGGATTACAATGCACCTCACCAAACATTTAAAAAATGTAGAATTAAATATATCAAATCAGAATGATACAGCGGTTTCTAAAAAAAGTTCAAATCAAATTAATAATTACAGCCTGCTATGCAACTCTTAAAATTTTAATGTTGAATACTCCTCTCGTTTGCATTAGTTAATTTTAATAAAATCTTTCCATCAAATCCTTCCTATATTTAAAATTTAAAATGAGCCTTTATTTAATGTTAAATAATACAAGAGTCATTCCCAAATAATTATGTAGACAAACTTGATGAAGTTGGGTACAAGATCAAACATAAAACGAAACTACTTTCATCGAGTATGGGTGAAGCTGGGACGTTGGATTCAAATTACAGTGTTAAGGGATCAAAGGATCAACAAACGTTTCCAAGTGTAGTTGAGGGCAAAATGGATGGTCATACCCCAAAAAAAACGTAAGGCGTGGCTCCGGGCAATACGGACATGTAAAGAACGGTAGGTCTGCGAAACCGAAAATAAAACTAACCATTTAACTCCATTGCTTATTAAGAGAAAGGAACATACTGAAAGACACGCGAACGGCTCGGATGGCGTTTATTTGTAAATGAGCTACCCGCCGTTTAGAAGAGGACTTTTACCTACACGGGTTTCTTAAATAATTTCTCGCGAGGATTTTTAGGTTTATTTTACTACTTCTATCCAATGATAAAAGCGTATGAACTTTACTGATGTACTCGTTTTCTTCTCACAATAACACTTTATTACTTTGCTGTAACTTATCATGTGCCTTTGCTTCATGTACTTGGCTTTCTAAGTATCCCTGACGTTGTATTTCTAAATGAATTTCTAGTGTAAGAGAGAAAATTATTTCTTTTTTTCAAGTATCATTAGCCTGTTGTTTGCACTTGTTCAGGCGGCAAAATAGTCGAAGAAAAGTTGGGAGATCATTTTAAAAGAAGCTGCACGAAACATCATCTCTTCTATCAGTAGTTTTTGTCAGACAAGAGTGTTCTGGAAAAGACACACCCACAATTGACAAAGATTGTTACTTGGAGAAAGAATTAACGAGTATTGAAGAAGTTGTCACAGTTACCTCTGTCCAAACAAAATTAAACCTTTCCTTACAAATTTCGTGGTTTTTGCTTCATGTGTCTACTGCATCCAGTGCCTGGTGCACCTGGATCGAACCTTGCAGGCGTTCAAAACGCTTTAACTCAGCTTTCCGCATTAGCTTGTGGTGATAATGCGAGCAGGCGTCTGAGGTAGAAAATTCCTAGTATTTCGCCAATGCCAATTTTACGCCGGCTGCCCAGGAGCTGGTGCGATCTTTCGGTGACGCTCCGAACTAATAGAAAGCAGTTGACAATCGACTTCAAGGAACTTTGTACGAAGAAATGAATGTTTGATCAACAGAGAAGAAAGGAGGCGCCAAGTTTGAATTGTATAATCCGTTCCTCTGAAACGCCTTCAAAGAACATCAAAACGCTCTGAAAAGCCGCCAAATTTGAAGTATTTTGGCCGGCAATTGTCAACAGCACTCAATAGATATTTTAAATATAAACTTTCTGTTAATTTATCATTGTTAATTGGGGAATTTAAAAAAAATTAACTGACAATTACTGAAAGCCAAATGCGTTTTCAGAGCGCTACTATAATCCAAGAAATTTATGTCATGTCCGTACCCTTTCATTTAAAATTGGATGTCACATTTTACGACCATCGCCTTTTCTTTCTTCCTACACCTTAAGTAAATGATCCACCTGTAATGAATGAACTTTCGAAAGCATACAGTACCTACGATTTGATAAATTGATTGCGTGTATTTTGTAATTAACAATCTGGCCCTAAATTACTTATGATTTTTTATTACATTTTTTTTCTAAAACAGTCGGCTCATCCACTACTTCTCGCCGACAATGAGTACACGGACGTACGACGGTTACTCCCAGTGGACGACAACGCAAACATCGTTCTAGCGACCGGCGCCAACATCACTCTTGTGTGCCCCGGCACTTACAACTACTTCTTAGGTGGCAACACTCAACCACTGCAAGTCATGAGGGCAACCTGCGACAGCGGATACAACTTCGTCGCCAATGGACGAACTATTGTTCTGAACCAGGCAAGTATCACAGGCAGATGATGAATTAGGACAATAATACGTTTGAAAATTAGATGAATACAAAATCAATTGAGTTGATAAAGAAAAAATACAGGTGGATTAATTTATTTGCTCTGTTCTAATATTACGTCACTGTGATAATGTAATGGAAAATATATCATTTTCACATTCAATTTAAACATCTAAATCTGCAAAGACTGAAATTAATTTACAAAAAATAACTACTGGAAATATTTTTGCCTATTTTAGTTCTTCACTCTTATTTAATGGGGTGAAAATACACAATGATGTATAACATTTCTTTCATGAACAACATTTTTACGAGATTTATAGATGACCATTTGAACATATGCTGGTTCAATGTATTACTAATTTTTCATTAGAACAAGGAGCTATTCCCCATTCACCTAGTTGAAAGGGTTTTACTAGAATTTTCATAATATAACTTAGCACACTTTTAACCTTTTAAATATAGTAGACTCGTATAAAAGTTCATAGTGAAGTTAAATAAAATATTACACTAAATTTTCATATTCATACTTTCATACGAGAAAAGGTGTGTTTAAAAGTTTGCATGACAAGTATGAACTCATGTATCTAGAGAATGTTCAACAGTAATTCGATTTCTTTTGATTTGTTCTTGTTTTTTATTGCATTTCATATTTCTCGAACAACACTTGTTACAATACATTAATTGTAAAATAACGTGTTACCTAAACTTATAACGTGATATAAAAGTCCTTCATTATTTAACAGTTAAAGTATTATTAAAGAAAGCCTGTTTTATTTTTGTAAATCAAATTTTAAAACAAAAGTTCTGTGCAATAGATAAAGTGCTATTCAGAGGGCTATCGGGAGGTTCGAATGGGTACACAAACTGCATGCCGACCCAATACCCTCCACGTGGAAGTGGGCTACAACATCCCAACTGCTCCCGGCTTCTTCCTGAAAGCGTACGAAATGTGCTTCGACCAATCGACGTTGACCCCAGTGAGCACCCAGCACTACGTGCTTCGCGGAGGCCGCGCCTCCCGTACAGGCACCATGAACGCCTTCCTCTTCTACCAGGTGGAGCCCTCGGAAGGTACCGTGCTGTGCGCAGTGTTTTCACCGATTTTATACTCCTATTGCATAATTCTTTTATTTAATGAATACAGCGTGTTGCATAATACTTTTCATTATAAATCAGCATTAGTGATTGACACAGGCGATTGAACAATCACAGACATTTGTACAATTGAGACGTAATCAACCATTTATCAGCGTTAAATTAAATATTTCTTTGGATTGCATGTAACTCTGCGCAAAAACAACCCTTACGGAGGTGCGGTAAACCACACATGCTCTCCCTTGTTTTGAACTCTGAATGCCACCAACTCCACTTGGGACACTTCAATGACAAGCCGCTAAGTGGCGTTGGCTGAGTTCTATATGCCAAATAGCGATCAATGTAAAAGTTTAACTTACAACGGATAACGTTAATTGTAGAAAAATTATTCTACGAAACTCTCTGTAATGGGTATTGATACACTCGTGAGCAGGTTTACTATATTCTCGTTCTTCACTCGTATAGTAATTTATCTTCAAACTCATGTTTTCATCACTGTTTCATAAAATAAGTTACAAGATGTTTGAGTTCTCAAGTCAAATTTACGAAAATGAGGTTTGCCGTCGTAATAAGAGTTAAACAACAAAAGTGTCACACGTACTGGAATTCCATAATAAGTCAATAAAACCAACAATATTCAAATCAAAGTGTACAAACTTTGCTCGCCAATTAATATTTTTGCCCTGAATAAAATGTGGTTACGATATTGTGTAATTTTAAAAATATAGCTCAAAATCTTGTTCATCGAAAATAAAAAAAAACTAGCCAATAAAGTATACATTTCTGAACAACGCTGCTGGACAACACTGCTGGCTATTTCCTCCGGTCATTCCAAAGGATTTTTTTGTTATCTACAGAGTGTGATTGCATTAATAAGAATGTCGTTTCTTTCGCAAATTTTTTTCTACGCCATAGTATGTGTCACTGTGCAGTATAACTACAGTTGTCGGAGTAGTTCGTGTCTATAGAATGAAAAAATTATTACTGAACAAATATAGCATTTACAGAACAAGGAACATTTTATATTAAAAATGGAATGCTTTCAATGCAAGCTACAAAGTACATTTTGTTTAAGTATGTGCAATTTATTTTTCAGCATATGTTACAACTGCTCAGACTCAATCGTTCACTCGGCAGCTAGACAGTGCTAGTGCGAAGAAATACATTACATCGTCAAACTATCTGGAAGCCAGGCTAATTGTGCCCAAAGACGATTTCGTGTATGGTCAGCTGCAGTTGTCTGCCTATTTCTACATTAATTCGGTAAGCAAAATAACGTTTCACATTTTGAATCCTTTCTGTTCTGCGATGGTCAAAACTGTTCATGGATTAAAGCTGTTATAGACAATAGCTTCGAGTTGAAAAAGACAAAATAAGAAATACTGGATGTTGTCGTATGTGAATTGCGATTCAGAAACATTTTTGAGAATTAGGATTAGAAAATAGAATAATAAGTTATATTTTTATTATACTTAAACGTTTGTAAACAAATTTACTCCTTATCAAAATGAAATAAATTGTTAAATTTAGGAATTTGTATGTTCTGTACAGAATTGTACAGATTGTAAGAATTGTCCTGTGCAGTATAGAAATATCTCAAAAAAGAGAAACACGCTTACTATTGGTCCAATGGTTAATATACTGTATTTTGAATATTTACTATTGGAAAAAGGTGTAACAAAAGTGTTCCGATATCCCACGTAGAGAAAAAAGATAGAATGACTGATACTAGAACAGCATATACTTCCCGCATTATTCCCTAATTGTGCAATTTTCGGAAATTACGAAAGTTAAAAGAAAATGAGACCTGCGCCACTCTTTGCATACCAAGCAACAAAAAGGAGCCATTTTGAGGAAAAAGTACTATTTGCATAAAGTTCAACCAAAATTAAAGAAAAACTAATGTTCTTATCAAAATGTGTAGATGATCTTCACTAAAAAATATTTTTTCAGAAAAGATTTAATTAAGTAACTACAGGAGTTACAATGACTCAGAATTTCTCTTATCTCTTCAGTCTGGGCTAGTTTTTCGCTTTTGGCCTGGCCTCTTCCTAACTGCTACCTATCGGCGTACAAAGGACATTATGTCACATTTTCTAAATATTCCGTAGTTCTAGTTACTAGAACATCACATTGCTAGCATTATTTCTAAGTTTTACAATTTTCGAAAAAATTGAGACACTTTGACAAAGTTAGATTGGTGCCAAATTTTAAGTGTCCTTAGGACTATTCCAGAAAAAAAAGTAAATGGAAAATTTGGAACTGTTTTTGAGAAAAAAATATAAATTGCCAACTGCCAGTAAATGAAGCAAAATCTTCGCACAATATTGTTTTTTCAACTTATATATGACCTTATTAGAAGAGCAATTTTATAACAGATTACAATAAGATAAAATGACGGCTTTCCAACTCGTGAATTTTGCTTCATCTGATACACTTTATGTTGCCACTTGGGGATGAAACAGTATTATATTTTAATATAATATTATTATTATTATTATTATATACATATTTTTGATAGAAAGTGGTGCTAAAATAATACATTTCGCTAACTTCTCTCATATTCTCACAAACGAAGCAATATTCTTATTTATCTAATTTTCAGATAGACTGTAACAGACTTGCAAAAAGTATATTTTTTGTCTATTAACCTCCCTTTTCTTTTAACAGTCATTTAACTTTAGATTACTACCTCAAAAAGAACGAGAACTAAGTTCTATCACTATTAAAATAACGCCTTCACATACAAGGTAGGTTTAATATATTACACGGTAGCAACATACTACTTACTGTGCGCTTTAAATGTATATTCTATTCGAACGTGCCAAGATGAAAACTATTTACGATAGTCTATGGTTGCATTGTATGCAAAGAATTACATGAGGAGAAATTATTTACAAAAGAAATCTTGTGAGAAAAATCATAAACTTTTTATTTAAAAAATGAATTTCGAGACGGTTTAACAATTATCTATTTTCTTTGATATTTTCCAGGCTCCCATGTGGCGAGCAGTGTCTTCCTCCTACTGGGGTACCATGGAGACTGCTATTAGGTCGTTGACGAAAACAGACGGAGACTTGTTGGTGTACACAACTCTAATAGGAGTCGCTGAGTTGCCGAACAGCCTCGGAGAACTGAAGCCTATGCATTTGTATTCAAACAATGGTGAAAGTTACATGCCATTACCTGCAATCCTGGCTAAAGCTGTCTATAACTCTAGACAAGAGCAAATTGTATTTCTGCAATACCCTCACCGAGGGTCCGTTGCTCGATCGCAAGTGGTAGGTTTTCTTTCTTTCTATTTAATTGGTATTTACCGTCGTAGTTTTTGTACAGTGTGTTTTTGGAAGACGTGATCTCTGTTTGGTTCTTCTTCTAGATGTTTGATGTTTGTGCGCCGACGGAGAGCGTGTGCACACAGAACGTGTGCTCTACCCTCCATTCGATTCTTCTTCTAGACGTTTCAGCATATGTGTGTTCTGTGTACACAGGTGGAGTGTGTGGGCGTAGAGAACGTGGGCTCTCTCTTCTGATCGATTCTTCTTCTAGATGTTTCGGCTAACGTATGCTGTGTGTACGCAGGGGAGCGTGTGCGCAGACGACGTGAGCTCTCCTCTGTTCCACGTGATCGGAATTTGAGTTAATGTGTGCTGTGTGTGGGCAGGAGGAGAGCGTGAGAGCAGAGGACGCGAGCTCTCCTCTGTTCCATGTGATAAGAATTTCAGCTGTGTGCTGTGTGCGCGCAGGCGGAGACCGTGTGCGCAGAGGACGTGTTCTCTCTATTCTGTTCCATGCAATAAGAATTTGAGCTAAAGTGTGCTGTGTGTGCGCAGGGGAGAGTGTGTGCAGAGGACGTGTGCGCGCAGCTGCGCTGGCTGCCGTGGCGCAACGTGCCCGCCGAGGAGCGCCCGTCCATCACGTGCTGCCGGGCTGACGACCCCGTCCTGCTCCGCCACCTGCCCGTCGCCTTCGCAAGAGGCCTTGCGCCCTCCACCGGTCTGCTCGTCGGCCAAGCAGAGCACTACGACTGAGCTACTCAGCGGAACAGTCTCTCAACGGGCTACGCTACAAACATTACCTACAAGTTCAATAATATTCCATTTTCATCCTGAGAATTTTGTACGAGTTGATGTTGGCGAAGCAATTGTAAAGATTTTTTCTGATAATTAAACTTTGTACAAAAATTTCAAAATATGAATGTACTCTATTTATTTATAATTCCTTTTTTACATATTACGTATACGTTTTGATAATATCTCTGCATTCTTTTACATTTTTAATATAATTATGTATTAAATTAAATATATAAAAATATATAAATAAATATATAAAAATAAATACATAAAATATTAATATGATTATGTATTATATTAAATATAATATTTTTTAACACATCGATTCTCGGATATTGAAAATATTATTGTAAGAACTGAAATGGATTTAAGTTAGAACGTTTTTTTTAAATTCTTATCTTCAACTCGTGAGTACATCCCAAGTTACTTTTATCCGTTCGCCCCGCTCTTTCATTATTGAGACAATTAACGATCCATGGCCATTGTAGGAGAAAGTTTGTAGCGTACATTATTGCAAGAAATATTGCCTGAATTTATGGAGCGAAAATATACATTTCTTTCAAATTCTTTTCTTGTGTGTATGAAAAACCGGTAAAATAATAGGTGCTGGTCCGTTTGTGGCGAACTCTGTATTTTCAAACATTGAAAAACCATTGCAACAGAACAATATTGAAGTTATAGATTTTTAAAATAAATGATATATAAAAGTATTATAAAATATGGCCTTCATAAAAGGTATGGTGCAATTTTATTTTTAAAATAGAGTAGATTTCCCTCAGCTTTTATTGGGAGTTAATGTAAATTTTAAAAAAATCTAAAAAATAATTCAATTTTTATTATTTTTTTGAGTGGATATATAACAACGGACTCCTTAAAAACGACACAGCTTGTCATTTTCGACGCTCAAAAAACGATATGGCGAAGTTTCCATGCATAATTTTCAAAACTGTATGGGGAGCTTCTAGTAGACTCTGTATTCCGTCCTCTTGAAACCGTCTTTGCAACTGGCCAAACTTGCCTTTGACGGCCTAAATGTAAGGGACAAAAACCAAGAGACTTGGCGACGGTTTCCGTGGCGCTGATATCTCTGGATAGTTATGCGCCAATAGTTAGGACCAATTGATTATGGGTCGACTGTATCCATTGGCAGCCAGTGTATGTTTAACGGCGATGGCCATATGGCGAAGATTTTCAGAATACGGTTCTTCGAAGCAGGCCGTCTGCTCACCAAGTCGCCCAGTAAACGCACTTGGCCATCCATTTGCGCGTTCGTGGTCAACTGAATCTTGGGATGACGGTTGGTGCTAGAAGCCCAGGAAGGTGTCTTGTCCATGGGGCCATGTCACGAATGTATCCTCCACGTATCAGACCCAGATGGTGGATTTCAGGCTGGCGTTATCACGTTCTCAATGCGAAAGTAGCTTACTGTTTTTCTAAATTAATATATTTAAATGAATGGTTATAGCTTATATATTACAAAACAATTATAATTTGAACTAGAAAAAAAGAAGTATGTTTTAAATTTGAACAAAAAAGTATTCAATATTCAAATACATCAAAATATCAATTATACACTTAGTGTATAATGTAATAGTGTACTAATGTGCACTTAGTACTACCGATACAAAATATTAAAAAAATTGTCTCCTTTTTTGTATAAAAACAAACTTTGTTTTAATATTGCCCAACTTTACAAAAAGTTCGAAAACTACAACTTTTTAATAACATTGACTTGATAATTAAATAACTTATTATGGAGAACAATGTTAAATTGAAGAAAAATATCTATCTTCATTTATGTTTATTATAAAAAATACACATGTGTTTTAGAAATGCCTTGGATGCCTTTGATACATGTTTGATACTGTATTTGCATTTCAGGTATACTTTGTTATTTAATGAATATGCTTCGATTTTTTTCATTTTCTACGAATCTTAAACATTTAGGTAGTAATTGTTGGGCATATTATTGGTCAATGACTATGTCACGAAAGGGTAGATATCATTCTTACGTTAATTTTAGAAGACACTAGAAAATTGATCTAACTGCCGAAGCCTTCGAACAGTTTAGTTTTTTTAAATGCTTAGAAAATAAAATTTCAAATGTACGTACATAACTTGAATGAAATGATCTGAAATTGTAAAAGTAACCTTCGGAACTGAAATAATTATTTTAAGTTTGAAGATGACTTTAAACATTTCATTGAAATACAATATTTGAACTTTTGTTGAAATAAATTTTTTGCGATTGTGGATTTATAATGGACACATTTAATGGAATCTTCTTGATATTACACCAATTACACAATTAATTTCAAATTTCACAATTAGCTACAAAAGCTAGGCAATGCTCCAAGCGGGACGAGCTCTAAGCTTTCACTGACTGGTCTTTCGGCGTGTGTGATAGTGTAGTGCATGTAAGTGTGTTTGTACGTAAGAGGTGCACATGGGACAAGAGAAAAACGGATTATGCGTAGTCCGTGATCTGTTGGTTTCGGGTACTGTCCTGGAATTCATCTTTTTACCACGAAAAACGACCATTCTGGATAGCAGTCCATCAGAATTCTCTTCGGTACACCGAATGAATTCGTCCTAGCTATGTTGTTGGGGTCTAAAATCCGCCACTATCGGAACTCGAACCCCACAACATCACAGCTAGAGTAACTACAGAGACGGCAGAAGTGAGCTAAATTTAGTCGTTTGATATTTTTAATCGCAATTATAATATACAAGGACAAACATGTTCAAAGGTGATGCCATGAAATCAGAAATGGTTAGGAAGAGACATGCATATATAAATGGAGTCACATGCCCTTTATGTCCCTAGGGACATACATTACAAAAATGTCAAAACTATCAGTGAATTCAAAAAAAGCTTTTTCGGTTTAATTCCCATGAGAATAGAATAACTTCAATCCTTTACTTGATAATATACATTAACCACGTGCTTTTCGTTTCTAATATAAGTTGATATAATGGCAGTAAAGAAACAGTATGTACACAGTAAACATATTTCGATAAAAATATTGGTGTACCGAATATTATTAACGAACTCTTAAAATCAAATATCATTTTTAGTATTTAGAATGAACATTCATTACCGTATGAACTTTCACTACCAAGAGGCATCTGAAACGTTATCATCAAGATAACCGTATCTTTCCATTGTTCAACTGAAAATAAATCAGAAAACCGTCCTTCTAATCTTTAAAGAATAAATATCAGCATGTCTCAACACTTTGCACTATTTAAATGAATGAATCCAACGATCCTGAAAACCTGATAATTTGAATAGGCACTTCAGAAATCAAGAGATTGAGAACGATATAAAAAACGAAAATACGAAGCGATGGTCAGAAGAAAATGGATTCACTTTGGTTGGTCATCGTAGCAACCGCCCTACTGGGCGTTGACCATTCATCAGCAAACTGTACATTTCTTCTTCCATATTCTCCGGTATGTGGCGCTTTACATCAAGCGGTTCCCGGGACACTGATGGGGCGGTCAAAGTTATGCACAAGGAAATTTTCGTTACTTTAGTTTTACAAAAACTGAAGAAAAAATTGTATATATCTGTAAATATAAAAAAACGAAATACCAAATGTAAATTATACATGTATTTTTGTATTCATTTTATAGATTTAAATGATTTTTTTACAAAAATTAATATTTATTGATCGTATGCCAGTTTTTATTAGCAAAGGGTCTGAAAGGTCGAAAACTTTAATTAGTGCCTGTGTACATACAACATACTCAAAGAAAAAGAAAAAAAGGTTTTATGAATTTTTACTAGGTAATCGCCTTTTTCAGTGTCTTCTGATTGAAATAATAGAGACAAAGCGATGGTTCTAGTCTCCTCCATAAAAATGTTGTTATATTGAGAACGTTTTTGCAACTTGTTATATTATCAAACTTATAAAAAGATATTAATTGCTTTATATAAGAATGTGTAATACATTTTAAAATCTTACATTTTCCAAAAATAGGAACAAATTGAAATTGAAAATTTAGTACCTGGAGTATAACATAAGCATTTAGGGGATAATAAGAAAAAAATTTCAAATCTCCCCTAAAATATGAGAAATATGTAGTCTATTTTACTTAAATAATCTAAAATTGATTTGATTTCAGACAGAACAGCCTCTTATGCTTGCTGATAATACATATGCCGACGTACGCAGATTCATAAGAAAAGACTCTTCTGATTTTTTTAATGTGTCAGAGGGAGAGTATGTCACTTTTGTCTGCCCTGGTTCCTACAATTATGTGTCCGGTGTAAACGTATATCCTCAGAAACTTCTCAGAGCCGAATGTGTGTCTGGATCCACCTTCTATGCTGATGGACGAATAATCGACGTAAATGAGGTATGTACGAGGTGGGTTCCGTAAATATCTGGCTTCACTAATTTATATAATGGATACAAGAAAAAATATATAACTTTTTAACTTAATCATCGTTTATTCCACCCTATTTTTTACATCTGTAAACTAACATTTCTAGGCTTTTGAAAAAGTACTACTCTAAAATGTTGTTCGCAAAGTGGTCAGAAACTGCTTTTTTCACCTCACACTTTTCTGAAAGTTGCCTTCAGTAAGTATTTTTTCAGTTTTGATAAGTGGTAGTAGTCGCCGAGTGCCTAATCAGATCTCTAGGGTGAATGGCCCAACTCCTTGAAGCCATGGTCCTTCACAAGATTATTAGCAATCTGGACAGTGAGCACAGGTTCATTGTACTGAAGAAGCTACACACCATATCCTACTCAAGTAACTCTCAGAACAAAACTGAATGTGATATCGACTGCTAACTTAGAGCATTTCGACTATTAATGATAAGACCTATATATTGCTTAGAAGGTTGTGTACCCTTTTTAATATTTCACGTCACTCACATTTCATTTCTTATTCACTTCTTCGGCGATATCAATTTCCTTTAACAATAACAACCAAAATAGCGGAGCCATGGCCTTGACTAACAATTCATGTGAGCTAACTTAAAACTACAGATTTTTATTGTTTCGTACCTCACATGAGAAATCTACTTCCAATCACCCGTATCTTTCCTCAATATTGCCTTAGCCCGTGCGCTAAAAATATTTAGCATTTCTGTTATATCGAAATATAAATAACACAACATACCTCACTGTACCTTTTATTAGCTAACTGCATATCCCATTAAGGGCAAGAGCCTCCTGCTTGTGCAAGGAATTGTTACTACTTATTTAATGAAGCGATAAGATAATGATATCGGGTAAAGGGACAATAACAGATACATCTATGCCCGAGGCGGGATTCGAATCCGCAATCCTTTGGTCGGAGATCGCCACGACACTGTACACGGATCGGCGCGCCTCTTATCTGGGCTACACGGATGGGCGCGCTCTATTTAGAGTATTCTAAATTTTACACATGCATTCGATAGGGGCCATGCCAGACGAATGGCTAATTTATGGTCCCCAGAATGAGTAGAGTTGGCTGGCTTCTCCGGCATGCCCGGGGTAAATAGAGTTGGCTAGCTTAATCTGAAATCCAAAGGATATGATCGGGTGATGGTCAAATTAGAATGTTGGAGCGATTTAGGGGCTCGTGGGTGCCGTCCCGTATTTATACTCGACGACTCGTAGAAAATGCTCTCGCCCGTAAACATGCAGCAAATTATTTTAATTCTTTAAACACAACCCTTTTATATCACCTCCATTCTTTGTATATATACCTTTAATTTATATAAAGGCCATTATAGTTAAATAGTCTGTAAGGTATTGCTGTACTTTGAATTATTTGATGTATAAACATGTATGAATCACAGAGTTCTTTTTTCGTTATAACCTGTATCGTAAATTCGTACATGAAATTAACGCAAGGATTTATTTCTGACAATTTTTTTGTTTATGTAAGCTTCCGCGGCTCGATTCCATAAATTCTTGGCTATCCGAGAGACGCCGCGTCGTTGGCTGAGTGACCGATGTTTCGTCTGACATGTCGCAGGCTTCCTCAGAGCAGTGACGTCACATGTCAGGCGAAACGTCGGCCTCCCAGCCAAGGACGCGGCGTCTCCCGGATAGCCGAGAATTCAATTTTTTTGTTTAAATTTAACTGCTTGTTTTTAATGGTCACGCGCTTTGCGATGTGATTTGATAACATTTACATAATATTGAATTATTTTGTGAACCTTAGGTGAACGATATTTACACTATTTCCAATGTGCGGAGTATTAAGGTAATATGTTCGTTAGATTGACGACAGTGAAATACCCCTATAATGTAACATATCTCACTGGGCAATATGAGGAGTAATTGACAAAAAAAAAAACAGCTGCAAAAATTGCAACCGGAAGTACAGGCTCTCGATCAAGAAGTACTGTTATGCACCACCTTCTATTGTCACTACTGTTTCTCTTGGGGTACGAGATAATACACAAAAACTTTAACTTTTGTAACACACTCAGCCTCACACTTTTTGAGAATAATTCACTTTGATTGTAAACAACGTGGACTAATATTCGACGCAGTGAGAAAGAAAAGTACGAGCACTGAAATCAACCTAACCTCTATTAGGTATTGCCAACTTATCAAAATAAAAAATCATGTGAGAGACTAAATGTATAAGTAAACACTGCTTTTCTAGAACAACTATTCAGTATTTCGCTTTTAACTATTTACAAATAATTAATTAAATGTTTCGTTCACGAATATATGCGGATTTTGTTAATCCGTAGATATCATAATTAGTCGAGGGTTGACTAGAGTCTGGCAAGAACCTTAAAAGTGCATACACTGCTCATACTTCACAAGGCAAAGAATCTAATGATGCATTTCTTCACAGAACTTCTACACTTCCTGGTGAGGCTGGTAACATTCTACCTTTCAACAATAAAGCTGATGCTTTTATTTGTTAAGCTGCCAAGGAATTATAGTTGCGATTTCCAAGCCACTAGAAATATAAATTTCTTTTATCTGAAACATTACATGTTTTTTTTCAATTGCACTTAAATGTGATGCAGTTCAGTACTACAGAAAAAAGTTATATAATTCTGTATAAAACGATCACTAGATGTTCAAGAAAAGCCTCATTTTGGGTATCTATGTTTCTGAAAAATTAATTTTTTTAAAGCTGTCATTCTGTCTTTCTTTGATCATTTGTAAGCCACTTTTTTCTAAAATTAGTAATGTCCAAATCATTTATCACAACTTGAGACTAAATGAACTTGAAAGTTGAAGTATTTTTTTAAATTGATTTCGATTTCCATTAAATTTCATTTCAACGATTCTAATTTCTCTTTAAATTTAAAAATCGAATAAAGGCATGCCCACTAATAGTATCGGTTTTATTTTCATTTAACTCCCTGATAATTTGGAAATTGTTAATCTAATTTTTTTCAGGATTGTCATGCATATTTATTAAATGATTGGCTGAAAACCAGAACGATATGTGATATTTTATAAACTCTGAGACATCTGTATAGTGAAGTCGATATCACTGTAAAGTCGTGGTGTTTTAAAACCATTAAAATCACGGCATTTCAATTGTTCATTAAAACCACGAAAATACATTGAAAATACATATAGCCTAAAATAAACACTTTTTTCTCACACTTCATAAAATGTCACTCTGTTCTGGTTTTCAACCATTCAAATGAAGATTTTTTTAATAAATCATTTTTTTTATTCTAGATATTTGATCCACTTTTGTACAGTACAGTGCTTTTCGAAGTTTTAGTAGTTTTAGTGTAAATATTTGCAGATAAAAATAATCACCACCACAATACTACTACGACTACTACTACTACGACTACTACGACTACTACGACTACTACGACTACGACTACTACTGCTACTGCTACTACTGCTACTACTGCTACTGCTACTACTGCTACTGCTGCTGCTGCTACTGCTGCTGCTGCTACTGCTGCTGCTGCTACTGCTGCTGCTGCTACTGCTG